GTCCACTGTGGAGTTAACACTTTTGTAATTTACGAATGTCCGATTCAAATACAATATTATATTTCAATTACTTATTATATTTGAATTATATTTGAAATACTTTTTTCTCTGTGTTTCAATATATGAATTAATTTGTTTCTGTTGTAATCTAGTACTGTTTTTTTGTTTTTAATAATCTAATACTGTTAAGGGTTCCTTTTTTGTTTTTGCCATTTCTTTTTATTGGTGATTAATATCTTGGTCAGTTAGTTAGGGTGGTGTCTGATGGGTTTCTCCACTGCAGTTGTAATTAATACCTTGTCGGAGCTACTTTAAAACAATCCTGTTTTCTCCTCAAATTCTTGCATCTTTGGTGTATCTCCATGGGTCTCACTATGACAATTGCTAATGTGTTTTTCTAATTTTTTTTTTTTTAAGATTTTATTTATTCATTTGAAAGACAGATAGCGAGAAAGAGAGCACAAGCAGGAGGGAGGAACAGGCTCCCCAGTGAGCAAGGAGCCTAATGGGGGCTTGATCCCAGGACCCCGGGATCATGACCTGAGTCTTTCCAAAACCAAGAGTCGAATGCTTAACTGACTAAGCCACCCAGGCACCCTGCTAGAGTAAGGGTTTGTTTGTTTGTTTGTTTGTTTGTTTTTAAAGATTTACTTACTTATTTTAGAGACAGTGTGTGACTGGGGTGGGAGTGGGGACAGATAGAATCCCAAGCAGATGTCCCTCTGAGCAAGGAATCCCACCAGGGGTGCCCAACACAGGGCTTGATCTCACTACCCTGAGATCCTGACCTGAGTCAAAATCAAGAGCTGGTCACCCAAACGAGCCACCTAGGCACTTCCTTGCTAGAGTTTTTGTTTTTGTTTTTGATTTTACTTATTTATTTGAAAACAAGAAAGAACATGAACAGGGAGAGAGGGAGCCCAACATGGGGCTCAGTCCCAGGACCCCATGATCATGACTGAGCTGAAAGCAGACCCTTAACTGATTGAACCACCCAGGTGCCCCTTTGTAGAGTTTTGTTTTGTTTTTTCCTTTGTAGAGTTTTTAAAGCAAACCCAGATATCCTATTATTTCACATTTCAGTTCTTAGCATAGTTTTTTATTTTATTTTTTAAGATTTATTTATTCATGAGAGACAGAGAGAGAAAGAGAAGCAGAGACATAGGCAGAGGGAGAAGCAGGGTCCTCGCAGGGAGCCGGATGGCGGGACTCGATCCCAGATCCTGGGATCATGACCTGAGCCAAAGGCAGGAGCCCAACCACTGAGCCACCCAGGTGTCCCCATAGCATAGGTTTTTAAGTTGAAAACCCTGATCTTGGGATCCCTGGGTGGCGCAGCGGTTTGGCGCCTGCCTTTGGCCCAGGGCGCGATCCTGGAGACCCGGGATCGAATCCCACATCGGGTTCCCGGTGCATGGAGCCTGCTTCTCCCTCTGCCTGTGTCTCTGCCTCTCTCTCTCTCTGTGTGACTATCATAAATAAATAAAAAAAAATTAAAAAAAACCCTTTCTTAAAAAAAAAAAAAGAAAAAAGAAAACCCTGATCTTAAAAAATATAAGACAAATTTCATATTCTACAAGGAGAACTAGCACATGTTGGTGGAAAAGGAGACATCAGAGCAATAAAGACAATAAATCATCCAGGCTTTTCTAAGTCAAAACCAATGAGAGAATCTCAAAAGTGTATCTTTTCAGACTCTTTGGACATCTGTATAAAATTTAGGGGTAGGAAAGAAAAATCTTATGTTTTTATCAAATGCCTGCCTAATCCATTTTGTTGATGAGCTATGTGCAATTAATTTACCAGGTCCTCCCATTTTCCTGGATTTTAATTCTTGGCTGGGCAGCTCTGAGCTGCTGCTACCTTTACACTATCTCTTGGAGTGATTGGTGGTATCCTTAAGGCTCCAGCTTTGGGGCAGAGGCCAGAGTGTCTGAAGCTCTTTGGTTGTGTGTGGCCATGAAGCCTTCCTTAAGGGCTTGGCTTGGCCCTTGAGGTATGAGTATCATGCTCCTGTCAAATGAGCATAGCAGCTTCCACTCTATAACCCAGCACTGACTCAGTTTACCCAAAGCAATGGCAGCTAAAATAATATTTCTCTGGAGAGAACACCAGCTATGGCAGAGGGTCCCATGCCCCTCCCAATCTGCTGCCTTTGTGCTCAGCTAATGACTGTGTGTCATTTTCCTAGGCACAGAGAACCCAGTGTCTGAGCGGCCTCGGGAGAAAGAGGAGCCAACAGTCCGGGATACCAATGAGACAGTTGACTGCCACTTGAGGGATATGCTGCAGCAGCTACACAGCGTCAATGCATCCAAACCCTCAGAGCGGGGGCTGGTGAGGCAAGGTGGGCATGGTAGGGGCCCCGGGGTGGGGGAGCCTGCACACCTGGAGAGGTTGGGGAAGTCTTACCTGCAGAGTGTCCAGGGCTCGTCTAGGCCCCAGTCTCCATAATACTGTTAGTTCCTCAATTTTCTATAGATTAAAATCCACATGGGTTAGCCTGGCATTCAAGGCCCTGCCTGTCTTTTTCTGATTCATGTGGAACACGTGCCCCATCTTCCAGCACGTCCATATGCTATTCATACATCTACACATGTTCTTTCTGCTGTTCGGTGAATTCTTGCTTAGTCTTTAAGAACCTCAGGGCTCTTGCTTGTATTCTTGACTCTTCTTCTGGAACATACTTCCTCCAGATAAGTGCATGGCTCACACTCTTCTCCTTTGGAGTCTGCCCAGTGTCCCCTCCATGACCATTTCCCTGGTCGCCCATTCCTAGCATATCTCATCCCCCTGTGTTTAAATTAGTGATTATAGCATGCACTGAACATAATGTTTTGTTTAGTTTTTAAAGATTTTATTTGAGAGAGTGAGCATGAGCAGGGGGAGGGGCAGAGGGAAAAGGAGAAGCAGACTCCCCGCTGAACAGGGAGCCTGACGCATGGCTCAATCCCACAGCCCTGATAAGATCATGACCTGGGCCAGAGTTGGACATCTAATGTACTAAGCTACCCAGGTGCCCCTTGACATTTTGATGTATTTGGAATTATGTATATTCTCACAATTTTTAAATCATTCAGAACCAAAAGATTAGATAATCTGTTGGCCACTGACTCTCACCTTGATAGAAGTAACCTACACATTTTGTCCTCTGTCCCTATAACGAGACTGTAAGTTCCATGAAGGCTGGGTTTTATGCTATTGCTCACTGCACCCGTGACAGTGCCTGGCATAGGGTAGACCTTTAGTCAATGTATGGACTGAAGAAATGAATGGAACTGGGTGCTCTGCACTGGAACTTCTTTCCTGTATTTGCCAGGGCTTGGTGATGGCAAATGTCCTGCTTGGCTGTTCTCTGGGGCCCCCAGCCTCTTGAAGGAGCCTGTGTGGGGTGCCTAGCAGTCCTCCCTGGCATGGGCTGTCTGAGTGGACCAGAGGGGAAGAGGCTGGTGCTGACCAACCATCTGTCTGTTTCTGTCGCAGAGGAGGCTGAGGATCCCGCCTGCATCCCCATCTTCTGGGTCAGCAAGTGGGTGGACTATTCAGACAAGTACGGCCTTGGTACGTTGCTTCCAGAATGAGCAGGTGGCTCAGGTATGGCCAAGTGACCTTTAAGCTATTCCAGGCGCTTGCCTTTTTTGGCTCCTTGGTCCTCTCCTGTCTCTACCTCAGAGCTCCCACTTGTACCTCCCAGTGCCCCCCCCACCCCCCTCACCCCCCGCTGCTTCCCTCCCTTCCTGAGGTCTCCCTGCACCTACCAGGGTACCAGCTGTGCGACAACAGTGTGGGGGTGCTCTTCAACGACTCGACACGCCTGATCCTCTATAATGATGGTGACAGCCTGCAGTACATAGAGCGTGATGGCACAGAGTCCTACCTCACCGTGAGTTCCCATCCCAACTCCCTGATGAAGAAGGTGAGTACCTGCTGCCCGCCGCAGCCTGATGTTGCCAGGAGGGAGCCATGTGCCTCAGGTTAGGCTCTAACTCTGGCCGTCCTCCCTCCTTTTCCAACCAGATCACCCTCCTGAAGTATTTCCGGAACTACATGAGTGAACACTTGCTAAAGGCAGGTGCCAATATCACGCCCCGGGAAGGTGATGAGCTCGCCCGGCTCCCCTACCTGCGCACCTGGTTTCGTACCCGCAGCGCCATCATCCTGCACCTCAGCAATGGCTGTGTGCAAATCAACTTCTTCCAGGTGAACCAGGGTCAGGGAGAGTTGGGGGTAGGGTACCTGTGTCTGTCTGCAGGCTCCCAGAGTGGGGTGGGAAGAGAGAGGTGTGGGACCCGTCCTTGGCATCAGGCATCAGGAAGAGTGTGCCAGAGTTGGAGAGGGGCAGGAATCCCTCGTCAGCTGGAATGTCTCCCCTCTGTTCCCCAGCATGCACTAGCAGCTGGGACCCTCAGGCCACTGGTAACTCTGTCCACCTGTCTTCCCTCCCATCCCTCACAGGACCATACCAAACTCATCCTGTGCCCACTAATGGCAGCCGTGACCTACATCGACGAGAGGCGGGATTTCCGCACATACCGCCTGAGCCTGCTGGAGGAATACGGCTGCTCCAAGGAGCTGGCCAGCCGGCTCCGCTATGCCCGCACCATGGTGGACAAGCTACTCAGCTCCCGCTCGGCTGCCAACCGTCTCAAGTCCTCTTCATAGGCCTTCCTCCCCTCTGGACTGGCACCCCTTCCCACCCCCACAGCACCTTGGCCCGTACTGGTTAGCTTCCACAGTGCCATTTTCTAGAATGTACCCCCCCGGCCCTGGGGGCTGGGAAGAGCTACATCACCCTTGCTGATGGGGGTCACCATGTAAGTTATTTTTGTACATGTTCGGGTGTGGGTTCTATGGCCCTGTCCCCTTCAACCCCACCATATGAATTGTACAGAATATTGCTTTTGAATCTGGGACTGTCTTTTCCTTGCCTTTATATACATTAAACACATGTGAATCTTCTTTTTCTTCTGTAGTCCCTGAGGATGCCTGGCTTCTGGGCTCTGGACATGTCTTTGCTCCAGAAGCCCCAGGCTGCCAAGACTCTGCCAGTCTTTTCTGCCACTGAGGCCCAACCCCTTGTATAGCGGCCTCAGGTCCCGGCAGCTCCTGGGCTTGGCTCCTTGGCCCTGGAGGCTGGTGGGTAGTAGGGCAGGAAGAGGCTTTCAGAGGCACAGCTACTCATGGCACCGTACGTGTGCAGCAGCAGCCGCGGGAAGCGAGTTGTGAAGTACTGGACGAAACTGTCAGGGATGTGGCCTAGCGCCTGCCGTACCTCAGTCGGGAGCTCCCTGTAGTGGTGCTTCTGGAGGGAGGTAGAGCAGAGAGCCCCTGCTCAGCTGTGACCTGGCTGCCCCATAATCCGGGCCCGCTCAAACCCTAGAGCACACCTTGTTCCTCATAGCACGGAGCAGGTCTCGCACTGACGTTCCCTTATACGTCCGGAACCTTCTCAGATCTGTGGGAGGAAACTCCTTGGCAAAGCTGGCCCCACTCAATTTTCCTCAGTCTCCCAGACCCACTCTGAGCCTGGCCTCTACCTGTCTGCAGTGGTACGGAGATGTGCTTGTGCCAGTTGCACCGGACCACCGTGGAGCCTCCTGCCTCCAGCGCCATCACCAGGGCCCCTTGCTCGGACTCCTTCTCCAGCCAGTCGCTGACGTCCTAGGACCCCATAGAGTTCTTGAGCCTCATGACCAGTTTCAGAGGCCACAGGGCCTAGGAGTGCCCTATGACTTGGGGGGAGCAAAACAGCAAAATTTATTGCTTTAGGATAAGGATTGTTGCCCCTTGGGTACAGCTTCTCAGTGCCATGTCTCCCATGCCAGGTCTTCATCAACCTGTGAGGTGTAGGTACTGTTGCCCCTGTTTTACAGATGAGCAAACAGGCTCAGAGGCATAAAGTCCCTTGGTCAAGGTCACATGAGTGGGATCGGCTATCTGGGCACTGGTGTAGCATGAGTGATAACTAGGGTTGAATGGCCTGGGGTCTGTGTCACATAGGGGTGGGGGCAGGGGTGGAGGCTGGGGCTGGGAAGTCTGGTAGTGAGCAGATGAGTGCCAACATGGCAGTGTAGGCCCCAGCTTGGTTCAGAAAAGGATCTGGGCTTTCTGGAATAGGTGAACAAGTTCTCTAACCACTCTGGCTTCCCCTTATCATTCAGCACCCAGACTTGGGGACCTATCTGGGGCCATCCCCAAGATTTTCCTCTGACCTGGAAGAACTGGAGCTGCTTGGCTCTGCTCCAGAAGAAGGGGTGGGCAAGCACCTGGTGAGCGGAGGGGCGGGCCTGTGGCATGGGGCTCAGCATGGCCTCAACCAGGTTCCTGGCGACCACCTTGTCTGTAGGGGCAGATGGGAGCAATGGCTTCAGGCCCACCTGGCCCTATGCCATTTCCTCCCTTGTCTGCCAGGCCCAGTCCTGCCTCACCATGGGCCTCTTCCTCTAGGTGAGTCAGACTGGGAGTCCCTGCAAGGATGTTTGCCTGACGATAAAGACTCTCTCCAAACGGGTGGTTGCCACCAGAAAGCACGTAGTAGAACACACAGCCTGCAGAGAAGATGTCCACTGCGCTTGTCTGGGGGCCAGAGAGACCAACATAAGAAGGCAGTCCCCGCTTCCAGGAAGCCTGCCTGGTTCAATTCTCCCACGGGCTGAGACAGTAGTCACGGCTTTGGTTCAGACTAGAACTCCAGGACGCTTCCTGAGCACTATCTCCTTGACCTGAGGTCTCCTCCCCTCTGCAGCACTGAAAGGGGTCCATGATTTTCATCCAAACTCTTTGCTCCACTGAGCTGCTGGTGCACGTGTGCAAGCTGTATTCTTTGAGGCCTAGCAGGTAACGAGGGAGGGAGGCTGGCCAGGCGTGAGGGAATGAAGCGGCGGCGAAAACCCTTCTGTAGCTCAGGATTTCTTAACCCGGTTTCTATTGACATTTGGGGCTGGATTATTGCCACGGGGGTCTGTCTGCATTGTAGGATGTTTAGCAGCCTCCCGGGCCTCCACCCACCAGATGCCAGTTGCCAGCCGCGATTCCCCTGCCAGGTATGACAACCAAGAATGTCTATAGACAGTGCCCAGTGTCCCCTGGGTGACAGCCACTGCTCTAGGTAAGAAGGGATGAACCACGCCACTCTACAGATGAAGAGACAGGCTTGGCCACAGCAGGAGGGGCACGGGGCCAGGGCTGGGGCTGTGACTCACGGGACTGTCGGAGGGCTGGAGCTGTAGGAGCTCCGGGGCCATCCAGCCCTCCGTGCCGGGGATGCCCGAGCGGAGGCTGAAGCTGCAGCGGCCAGCTGGCAGCTTCTTGCAGAGGCCGAAGTCCGAGAGCACCACCCTGCCTCGGCCGTCAGGCCCGTCAGGCCCGGCGATGAGGACGTTGGCCGGCTTCAGGTCCCGGTGCACTGGGAGCAGAGCAGGGCTGAGTGGGGCGGTGGGGGCGGGGCCAAGGCCGGCGGGGGCGGGGCCTGGGCGGGGCCGCGCGGAGGGTGGGCGGGGCGGCGGCAGGGCCTACCTATGTGGAGGGAATGCAGGTGGGACAGGCCGGACATCAGCTGCTGCAGCACCGTCACCGGCTCCAGGCCCCAGCGCTCCAGCTCTGGGTTTTCCACGTACTGTAGAGGCGGGGGACAGAGCGTCACTGTGCAACCTGGGACCCCGCCACCCCCCACCCCCTACCCCCCCACCGCCCCTCTGAGTCCTGGCTCACCTCCTGCAAAGAGGCTTGGCAGAGCTCCAGGGCGATGTAGTGGAACTGGGGTCCCCGCTCCGTACAAAAGTAGCGGAGCACATTGGGGTGCCTGTCCGACTCCTGCAGCAGCTGGACCTCCCTCCGGACCAGGCCGAAGCATTCACGGAGCAGCCGCTTGACAGCCACTGCCCGCCCCTCCAGCTGGCCCCTGGGAGGTTCCGAGAAGGAAGACAAGGAAGAGGCTCCCTCCTGCACCCACCTCCGGGAGCCTTTGGAAGAATGGCCCTCCGAAGGACGGTGGCGCAGAGTGCCCTGAGCGCCCCCTCTCCAGCCGGGCTCCTAGCTACCTACTCACCGGAAGACGAACGTCCCGCCTGCCCCGCGGCCCAGCACGTCCTTGGGGTTGAAGGAAATCTTGCCCACCACGGTGAGCCGCTCAGCTGAAGGGAGAGGACGGGGCATGGTCTTGGGGAGGCTCTGCTCAGTCCACACCCTCCCGCCCCCTAGACCTTTCTCTGGACTCCCAGCCACCCACGCCCAGCCTGGGGCTGCCACTTCGTGAGTTCTTGGCAAATTACTTAACCCCCGTGCCCTCGGTTTTCTCATCTGTAAAGTGGGACTCGTGTTGATGATCCCACGTGGTGACTGTGGATTAAATGAATGAGTGGGGGGAGAGCTGCTAGATTAACTTCCTTGTCACTCTCCCTCTTCTGGTATTTTCTGCCCAGATTTCTTTATTTCCTCTGCCACTCTCCCCACCTCCACGAGTTTTAAAGAAACTCTTTTCATTGAGGAATTAGCTTCAGACAGGAAGGTGGGCTTGGCAGCTGGCAGCCTGGTGAGGGTGAGTGCAGTCCCCAGAAAGATTGCCATGGGGGTGGGGTTGGAGGGGGCAGCACTGGGCATTTGCAAAGCTGTCCCAGAGTTAGTTCTAGGGTAGCAGGGACCCCCCGGAATGCCTTGGTTTCCTGTTAAAAAGGATGGGGTTGGCTCAGGTGGGCCAAGGTCTGTAGACTTGGACAATTACTGCTCTTCCCTTTGGGTAGCTTGGGAGACACCTCTCACAATGAATGCCCCAGGCATGTCTGGCCAGGCTATGTGCCCTGCTCAGCTCCAAGGGACACCATTCATAGAGCTCAAAGTACATGGCACCCCAGAATTGTGCAGTACAGGTCCTGAGAACACTCTACTCAGGAAGAGCTGCCCACTTGAGTCTCTGCAATTAGCGCTGGGAAAAGCAAATGAAAATTAGCATCAGGATCCGTGAGGAAAGTACCAAGCTGTCCCTCAGTATTGCTCCGGATTATTTTAGTAAAAATTCCCTCTCAAAAAAAAAAAAAAAATTCCCTCTCATCTGTCAGCAAGATGCAGGAAGTAACCTAGATTTCTGTACCCTGGCCTCCAGAGAATGGCTGGGCTCAGGGCCTGGAAGCTTAGGGAGGAGTGGGCCTGTTTCTGGCAGCTTGGAAGGCAAGGACAGAGTTGCTGGGGTCTGGCAGTGAGAGGTGAGTGTGGACTCAGGTGGCAAGGAGTGAATGAAAGGCAACGGCAAGAAAACCCACAGAGTGCTTTGATGAGAGCCATTCTGGGAAAAGATTCAGCTTGAGTCTGACCCCCAAGAGATAAGCATTTCAGAATGCAGTGGGTATTATATGGACCCACTCAGAGACAGTAAAGTGACAAGAACTGCAACACCTCAGGGCTCAGGCCCATTCTCAGGTATGCTTCGAAAAGAGCCAGCCCCTCGGGAAGGGGATTCACAGAGTGAATACAGGCATGAATGCTGGAAGCAGCATGGAAGCATCAGACCAAGCATGGGTCGACTTCGCCTGAGCTCAGGGCACAGCAGCATGGCTCCAAGGCCTGAGGCAGTGGTCTGACCAGTGACCAGGAGGTGCCAGCAGTAGTTCCTGCAAAGGGCTCAAGGCCAGTCCATCCCAGAGCCAAAGAAGCAGGAGTAGCCTGGACTAAGCAATAAAGCATGGGAAAGCCCCCCTGCAGACACCAGGGGAAGCTTTAAAGGGCTAGTTTATAGGGTCTAATTGACAAGAGAAATCTTTTTAAATGTTATTTATATCAAAAAATGTTATTTACTTCTGTGACAGAGAGCAAGAGAGCACAAGCAGGGGAAATAGCAGAGGGAGAGGAGAAGAAGGCTCCCTGTTGAGCAGAGAGCCTAATGCAGGGCTCCATCCCAGGACCCCGGGATCATGACCTGAGCCAAAGGCAGATGCTTAATAATTGAGCCACCCAGACACCCCAACAAGAGAAATATTTAAAAAGTCCTGGGCAGCCCAGGTGGCTCAGCGGTTTAGCGCTGTCTTCAGCCCAGGGCCTGATCCTGGAGACCCAGGATCGAGTCCCACATCGGACTCCCTGTGTGGAGCCTGCTTCTCCCTCTGTCTGTGCCTCTGCCTCTCTCTCTCTCTCTCTCTCTCTCTCTGTGTGTGTGTGTGTGTCTCACATGAATGAATGGATAAAATCTTTAAAATAAAAAAATGAAAAGTCCTAAAGAGAGGGGGTAAAAAAACCAAAATGAGACCTAGGTAACTTACTAGTACTGTTACTGAATATGTTAAACTAACACAAATAGTATTAACGTCACTCAAGACTGATTTAATAATAATGATTCTGGTATGATTCTCTCATAATGAGGTGATACAATGAGGTGGGTGTTATTCCCATTTGACAGATGAGAAAACCGAAGCTCAGAGGAAGATAGCAACCTGTCAAACTGAACAGCTGGTGGAGTTAGATCTATACTCAGTTCTATCTGCATCCAAGAGTCCTTGAGAGTAATGACAAATAATGATGGCAGACATTTCTAGAGTGCTTAACTACATAGGAGGCTGTAAGTCCTCTCTTATTAACTCAGGCTTAATCACTGGACTATAGTGGCTTCTAATAAACCTGAACTTTGAAACTAAACCTGCCCCCTCTTTTCTCTTTCCCTGACTCTGCCCTTTCCTGTTCATTCAAGCTCACCGTCTGGGTCTTCAACTGCCTGGGCTTGCTCTGGGGAATTTGGAAGGCTCTTCTGGCCCTGTGAGGTGGCCCCTGATGGCAGGGGCTGAGCATTGTGTGAGATGTGAGGAGGATCTGCGGGTGCCAGGAGGGTCTGCTGAGGGTGTTGCTTCTTCACCAGTTGCTGCTGTTGCTGAAATACAGGGCCAAAGAGGGCTCAGCCCTGGCTAGGTCTGCCCCATGAGGGACCCAGTAGTGGTGCCTGAGACAGCCTCACACTGGACCATTAACCTACAGAACACAGTAGCAGGGGCTCAGGGAGCTGCTGGAAGGTAGGGAGCAGAATCGGAGCTGGGTGAGGGAGAGAACTGCTGAGAGGTCTTGGAGAGGACAAGCAGAGCTCCCCCAAGGAAGACCCTAAGATGGACCTGAGCTCAGGGGCGATAGGCTTACCTGCCTCATTAGGAAGATGATCCACCCTCCCAGAAGGACAGCAGTGAGGCTAGCTGCCAGCAGGTCTTGAGGTCCCAGCCCTGGATACAAGTCTGGGGTTTTCTCTTCAGGATGCGGCTCCAGGTTCCAAGGTTTCTCACGGCTCAGGCTCCGGAGCTGAGGACAAAGGAACTTTCACTCTTAGAACACTGTGGAACCCCTAACCCTTCTCCATCACCAGTACAGGGCGGCTGGGCTTAGCTAAAGGGGCAGTGCGTGATTAGTCTACGTGGTGGGAAACCCGGTGCTCTCCGTGGTGCTGAAACATCATGGTGTCGCAGGAGTGTGGTCTTCAAACCTAGCTGATGATCAACATCTCCTGAGAGGGGCATCACTAAAATACAGATACTCTTGGGAAATCTCCAAATTCAGATATCCGGGCAGGCTGGGTGGCTCAGCGGTTTAGTGCTGCCTTTGCCCAGGGCTTGATCATGGAGACCCAGGATCGAGTCCCACGTCAGGGTCCCTGCTTGGAGCCTGCTTCTCCCTCTGCCTGTGTCTCTGCCTCTCTCTCTCTCTGTGTCTCTCATGAATAAATAAATAAAATCTTTAAGAAAAAAAAATTCAGATATCCATCTCCAGTTCAGTGGGGCCTGAGTGGGCTCCCAGGAGACACTGATGAACAATCAGGTTTGAAAATTACTGCTCCAGGTCATGGCTTGTATTCTCTCTCTCTCTCTCTCTCTCTCTCTCTCTCTCTCTCTCTCTCAAGATTTACTTATTTGAGAGAAAAAAAGAGACAGAGGGAGAGGTGGTCATGGCTGTTCTAACCTTGAGTCACTAGGTCACTAGCGATTCTTTCCCAATCCTCTCCTAGGAAAGCATGCTTTTTTAGTTTTTCTGTTTACATTTTCTCATTTGATAAGTACTTTATAATTTTTACACTGAAGAAGAATTAAAACTGTGATTCCTATTTCACAATTTAGATAACCAATATCCTTTGACACTTCTGTTTCTGGCAATCACAACATATACATATGTTTTTCCTCCAGAAAATTGTGTGACATCAATTGACCCACCCTCAGATGTTACTCCTAGAAGCCTGAGTGAAAGGTCCAACAGCTGCCCTCCCAACCTGCCAAGTCTCCCCACTTCCCCAATTCCCATGCCCTCTGCCCTTCTAGTACTGACCTCTGGGAAGAGGGCTGGGGCCTGTGTGCTCTCTGAGAGTCTGTTCTCAGCAGTCTCACTCCTTGGGGTGGGATGCACTCTTAGCATGGTGGTGTGCAGGACTGGGGGTGGCTCATGGTGTCCTAAGAGGCAGAGCAAAAGTCAGCTGGCTGAAGATGACCTCAGCCTGTCACTCAGAAGTTGGGCTCATAGGTCCTTCATCTTCAAATTTGAGCCAGAAGAATCTCACCAATGAGCAGCCACTGGCTAGGGAGGGTCACACTGCCTGAGGGGTATTTAACAGCAGTACTAGGTGAGCCCTCTCGTTCTCCTGAGACTTGGAGTGTCACTTCTTCTGTGGTGGGGCCATCCATGGGGGCCAGGGTCAGTCCACGAGGCTATGGCAAAAGATAGAGAGTCATGAGTGAAGGAGCTCCTCTTCTGCCCCGTCCCTTCTTTCCAGCCCCTCAGAGACCCCTTCTCACCACTAAGGCCACCCCTGTGTGAACGAGTGCTTTAGAAACATAGAAGCCAGTCTCATCTTTCCCCACATACAGTGTCATCCTAGTGAGGGAGAAGAAAAAAGGGGAGAAGGATGAGTGATGGTGGTGGGTAGTTTCAGTTACCACTGTACCCATGTCTTTGTATGGTCCCCTCCCACATTGACTCTGGGCTTAGCCACCTGACTTGCTTTGGACAATGAAACAATAGAAAATGTGATGCAAGCAAAAGCTTGAGAAGTGTTCATGCACTGGAACTTGTCTTTTCATGTTGTTCTCACAAGACCACCATGTGAGGAAAGCCTGGCTAGTCGGCTGGGACATGAGAGACATCATTTGACATCCCCTAGGCCAAATAGTCCACCAACTATGATATAGTGGAGAGAGGTCATCCTAAACTATCCAGGCTCAGCCAAGCCACCGGATTGCCCAGATGAGAAAACCACCCAGCTGACCCACAGAATCCTGAAAAAAAAAAATTAAGTAGTCATTGTTTTTAAGCTCTGTGTTTTGGGAGTGCTTTGTTATGCAGCAAAAGCTAGGTGATACAAACTCTATAGTCAAGATTTTTAAAGATTTTTATTTATTTAGTCATGAGAGACACAGAGAGGCACAGGAAGAGGGAGAAGCAGGCTCCATGCAGGTAGCCTGGTGTGGGACTAGATCCCAGTTCTCCAGGATCACACCCTGGGCTGAAGGCGGCGCTAAACCACTGAGCCACCCCAACTGCCCTGTAGTCAAGATTTCTAAATCTATGTCTAGCCCAGACCTCTTTCAAGAGCTCAAAAAATTTTTTAAAAGATTTTATTTATTCATGAGAGAGAGGCAGAGACACAGGCAGAGGGAGAAGCAGGCTCCACGCAGGGAGCCCAACATGGGACTCCATCCTGGGTCTCCAGGATCAGGCCCTGGGCTGAAGGTGGTGCTAAACCACTGAGCCACTTGGGCTGCCCTAGAGCTCGATTTTCTAAACCTGAACTTGTCACTTCATTCCTTAGCTCTTTCTCCTCTAGTGTTCCCTATCTCTGAGAACAACTGCACCCATGTGCTTCTAGAAACCTGCACAATGACCCTTGACTCCTTGCCCACAATTACCAAACTCTTCTGATCACCAAATTCTTATTGTTTTCCCCTCTTCAAATCTCTTACTTTCTACTTATTTCCATTTCTAGTGTTTCCACCCTACTCCAGAAGGTCTTTATCTCATGCCTGAATTAATGCAATATTCTATGCACGGGCACTTCCTAGCTACACCACTCTGATATTCTCCACACTCCAGCCAGAGTTGTCTTTCTAAAATGCAAAGATGATCAAATCACTTCTTTACTTAAAACCTTCCCACGACTTTTCCTTAGCTTCAGGAGAAAATGTCCAAACCATTTAAAGTATCCTGCAAGATCCCTGCTATACACCCTCAGACCTTATTCCCTGTTCAGATCTATGGTCTAGCTTTATTTAATTTATGTTCCCTGACTGCCATGCTTGCTTGCTCTCTCTCTTGCTTCCTGTTCATCCTTCAGGTTTCAATTTATGTCCTGGAGAAAAGGACATGTAAATTGAAACCTTATCATCTGATGTTATAATTGCCCTCTTCCACACTTGTCTCCCCCACTAGACTCAGATTTCTGTAGGTAGGAAACACTGGCTGTCTAATTGTACTTCCAGAGCCTAACAAGTGACTGGTACACAGTAAGTAATCAATATTTGTGCAATGAATTGAATGAATGGATAATCCCTGATTTTCCCAGTCTGTCTCCTTGTTCCCTAAAATGGGGACTCTAGGGCATTCATTCCTATAAGGGTGAGAGTTAGTCTTTAAGAATCAATAAAGCACAGCACCTACCAAGCAGAGCAAGCTCCATCCGTACACTGGAGTGGAGACCCAGAGGCCCCCTGTAGGCCATATTTTACCCTAGAATTGCTGAATAGCAGGGCTATCCAGAAGGTCCTGGGGGCACTGTGGGGGGTGGGGGTGCTGGGCACTGGTTATTTGCCAATCAGTTTAGTAAACAACCAGTTTGAAATATTCTGGCCTGGGTCCAGCTATATTGGTGTGTCATGTTTGAACATCACATCTGCGCAAAGGGCTCCTCCCCAGTCCCCAGGGATGGGTACTTACAGAAGTTGAGTGTCCAAGGCAGAGAAGACAGTAGCCGTGTGCTGGGGGCCTGAGGCAGGCAGTCGGATGTGGCCCCAGCGGAGGGCGAGGAAATGCAGGGTGTCCCGAGCCAGCGTGAGATGGGGTAGCTGGCGCAGGCTGTCCTGGTGCCAGGCATAGATTCCCATCACCGGCATGCCCAAGTCCTGTGTCCACAGCACTGCCCCACTTCCTGGGTCCACGGTGAGCAGCAGGCCCATCCCACAGGATGTCAGGTGGCTCATATCTGCCAAGAAAGATGTCTGGGAAGATGTGGTCAAAGAGCTCTGACCTGAGGCCTCTCATAGCATCTTGGGGTGGTGGTGGGAAGTTGCGCTGAAGGTAGGCCACTGGGGGGGGGCACTCAGGTGTGTGTGGGTCAAGTGAGATCCCCTGGAGGGTGCTGAGGACATGGGAAGTTCAGTCAGAGTGCGCCAGGTCACTTTGATCTGTCAGGGGGTCAGTCAGGGTCAACTGGGGAGCTGTGTAGGATGTGGGGTTCAGTCAGGGTCATCCAAAGGTGACTTAGGTGTGTGAGTCAGTCCAGATGGCTTGAGAGAGGTCACTTGGGATGTGGGGTAGTCAGTGATGGTCTCATTGATGTCACTCAGGAGAGGTCAACCAGGGGCAGCCTGGAGGCCTGTGGGTCACTTGGGAGTCATTTAGAGTGTGAATGGGATTAGTCAGGGGCCCCAGGGGTGTCAGTTGTGATGTGTCAGGGTTACTTGCATGGATTCTTTTTTTTTTTTTTTTTTTTTACTTGCATGGATTCTTATGCAAAATGATGAAGTCAGCGTATGAGGGGTGGCTAAGGGGCACCTGTAGGGTCATTCAGGTAGTTGGGTAGGTCATAATACCAAGGGGGTGGTCAGAATTACCTGGGGGAGGTTAATCTGGGGGGAGGTCACTTAGGGTTATCTCCCAGGGGTCATTCAACTTTGGAGGTCAGTTAGGACATGTGACAACTCATCAGAGTGTTCGAGGGTTGCCTGTGGTCACTTGGGACAAGGGGGCCACCCAAATGGCTCAGCTTATTTGGAATACAGAAGGTCCCCTGTTAAGGACTGCTTGGGGTATGGGAGGGTCAGGCTGGGTGATGAGGGAGTCACTTAGGGTTGTCACCAAGGGTGTGTCACTCAGAATGTGGAGGGGCTTGGTCTTGGGTGCCACCCAGGGTTCCCTGAGTTGGAGAGCTTGCTCCAAGGCTGGAGCCAGAGAAAGGAGGCACTCACACTTCCCGGGCAAGCTGTCCATGGGGGCTGCTGAGTAGCGGCGGTAGGTGATGTTCCAGCGCAGAGCCGGGGCCCTGGGGTCGTGCATGGTGACCGTGAACTCTGCCAATGCCCAGAAGCAGGGTTACCAGGAATGCCCAGGTGATACTCCTCCCATTTCCTCCGCAGGGGCTGTCACTGTGCACCCGTCCTAGAGCCCAGAGTCTGTGAGTTTCACAGTCTGGGTCACTGCTGTACCCTCGGCTCCTTGCTTCGTACTCAGGGCAAGGTGTGTTGACTGACAGATTGGCCTGGATTCAGCTTGGAAAGCAATCCCCAGGCCTGGACAGCACAAAAGAGGGGGCTGGCTGCCCACAGCTTGGGGAGCAGCTGGGGCCTGACTCACGTGTTCGGCCAATGTAGAGGCGGGGGGTAGGGGGACCCTCTGTGGTCAGTGTCATCTGTGTCTTTCCTGACTCTGGGTCCACCACAAACCAGGCATCCTGCTTCCGGCCTGTGGAGGTGGAAAGTGTGCCAGCCCTCAAGATGGCCCGGGGCAGGGTGTGCAGCCTGCTGTCCTGTGCCCAGCTGACAAGGTCCTTGTCCCTGGCAGACCTGGACCCCACCCACAGGCTGGAGAGAGGCACTTACCCGTGTAGAAGACGCCATCAGAGCTGCGACACGGGGAGGCGTGAACCAGCTCCGGGATGGTAAATGGTAGCTTCTGAGAAGGAACATTTCCAGGAAGGAGTAAGAGCAGAAGAACATGGACAACCCACTCATGAGGCACAATTATTAATCATTTTCATTTTCCAGAGAGGGTAAGTGACTTGACTGTGGTCACACAGCCCCCTCCGTGCTCTGGCTAACAGAAGCCCAGGCCCTCTCCCATCCCAAACATTGTAGGAAACACACCATTAATCCCTGTTGTTTCTGGGTCCCCAAGACGTACAGACTGCCATCAGCTGGGTCTGAGAGAAAGGCTGTCCTGTGGGGCAGAGGGGAACAGGGGAGGGTTAGGCACATGCTCCCTGGTTTCATGGTGACCCTGTGTCCCTCTGTCTTCCCCACTATTAGGAGCCCACCCTTGCGGGAGGCATCACAAAGCTCCAGAAACAAATCTCTTCCCTTGCTTCCAACATGCCCCTGCCCCCCATCCCACCAAACTCCCTCCAGACAACTGCAGCTTCCCCATCTCCCAGATGCCCCCTCCTTCAAAGACCACAGGTCCACTTACTCGGTGACGTACATTGGCCCTTGGATGATGGGATCTGTGGGTACAGGGACACGGAGCATGAGTCACCTCCTCCAGACTCCCCGCTGATAAGCATAGCTCCTATTCATTGTGTGTGTACTGGGTGCCAGACACCGAGCCAAATATTTGACATTCATGTAATGTAATCCTCCCAAGAACTCTGTGAAGTAGGGTCATTACCTTTGGCCCCATTTTAGAGCTGAGGACTCAGAGTCCTCAGAGAGGTGACTCAGAGACTCAGAGAGGTGAAGTGAATGTCCCAAGGCCACACAGCTGAGAAGTGTGCAGATGTGCTGCACTGGGTTCTACCCCAGGCTCATTTCTCCTCTGCCATGGGACTGCCGCCCCTTGCTCACCATCCTTCAGCGTCCACTTCAAGTCCCCTGTCTGCTTGTTCAGTGCATGGAGACTTCCATCCAGGGTGGACACTAGCAGGAGGCTCTCTGGCCTGAGGGTCTGGACCTGAAGTGGGAAACAAAGTCAGCTCCTCTGAGGAACCTGGGTCCATCCCTTGTCCACACTCCATGCAGGGCTACCTGTGACTCCCCTTCTCAAAGAAGGGGACAGACAAAGAAGGAAGCATGATTGGGGAAGCTGCTGACTCCCTCCAACCCCGTTGATCTCCTTGGCCCTAGACAGGAGTTACAGCAGGAGCTGGGGGACCCAGCCCCCATGGTGTCTAAAGTCTCTCCTCGGGATGCCTGGGTGGCTCAGTGGGTGAGCGTCTGCCTTTGGCTCAGGTCATGATCTGGGGATCCTGGGATCGAGTCCCACATCGGGCTCCCCTCAGATGCCTCTCTGCATCTCCCATGAATAAATAAATAAAATCTTAAAAAAAAAATAACAAAGTCCCTTCCCTACCCTTCAATTCTTTCTGGTTTTCTAAAGAAGACAGAGGACCTTTACAAATGGACTTCACAGCCTCCCTGTGAGGTGGGTGCTATTGTTTCCAGGATGTACAGATGAGGGAGAGAGACTAAGGTCACACAGCTTAGGTCATTAGCCTAAAACCAAGCAGAAGAGGTACCTGAACCACCATGTCTCTGATTCCAGTGCCTGGTCTCTTACTCGTTTGCCACCCTGTCCGGCTGTCTTGGGATGACCCCTTCTGCCTCCCCACACCAGCCCAGCTGCTTTTGGTGCCAGGCTCCAGGGGTCCTCTGGACCAAGACTCTGGGTGGCCAGGGGAGGGAGGGAGGGCTGGAGCTGTTCTTTTGTCTAGCCCCTACTGGGCTAACTCACCTGCGCTAGCCCCTCCTTGAGCAAACAGGGTGAGGCTGAGTGCCCAGCAGGAACCCTAACATCCGGGTTCAGGACCACACCCCTGCAAAAGCCACATCCTGCTTCAGGACCCTCAGGTTTGGAGCTGAGCCAATGGTCTTGGTGGCGAGTCGGAAAACTGCCTCCTAGCCCCTCTCTTTTCGCAGCCTGCTTTGTGGTCTGAGAAGAAGCTGCAGGCTGGTTGGCCACAGTTGAAGTAGCTTGACCATCATCACGTCTACAAATTTGTTTTCAATTCACTCATTTTTAACATTGGATATATTTCAATTTTTAAAAAATCTAGATTTCTAATTTCTCTCATTTCTACTTTTTCTAATTTTTCTGGAAACACACCTGCTCTGGCCACCCTGGGCTCTCAGTCCTACTTGGCAGCCATGGGTGAACCCAGAACTGGATGCACCGCAGGGGGATGGCATGAACAGCCAACACTCCATGGTCCCATTAGCTGTTCTGGGGGCTCCAGGCTGGAATGAGTGGATTCCAGTCTGGGCGCCTTTGCCTTCTCCCTGCATTTCTGTAAAACTGGACTCTTACCTCCTGGCAGGGCTGGACGGGATCCCCCACACCTTCTCCTTATTTATCCCAGAGGTTCTGAACCCAGGGTCCAGTTGTGGGCAAGGGAGACTGGCTGTGAACCGCCTGAATTTGTAAAACTGGGTGTGGGGGTTCATTTCTCCACAGAGGATTAAGTTGACCTTTGTCACAGCAGGGGATCCCAGGACTTTTAGGATGCCAGGTCCCCCAGCCCAGGCTGTTCTGCACCTGCACCCCCGCGCTGCAGGAGGGGGCGGCTGTTCCGTGCCTGTCCAGCTGGCACAGCTCTCCAGCTAGGTCATCGTGGGGCAACGGGCAACGCCCCCCCCCCGCACCCGCCCGCAAAGCTAGGAAGCTTTTCCTGGCCAGGGTCCGACTTGGGACCCCTTGGAGCCAGAAGAGGGCAAGGCGCTCCCCCCTGCCCCGACCTTGGCAGGCCCTGCGGCCGCCCCACTTCTCACCTGTGGCCCCGGCGTCCGGAGCAGCGCCGCGAGCTGCAGCAGGAGCCCGAGGCGCAGCGGGGGCCACGGGCCGCACCCCATGGCCGGTCCCTCGGCGCCTCCAGGGGACAGCAGGGCCCCCAGCCTGGCCCGCAGGAGACTCCGCCCCCGGGCTGGGCCACTTGGGTCCGCAGAGGCCGGAGCACACCTCAGCCGGTGTCCCCCTCCCTCCCCCCCGCCCTTCGCATCACACCGACCCCCCCCCCACCCCGGCTCCCCCCCTCCCCCCGGCCCCCCGCTGGAGAGAGCGCGGGGAGGTCAGCGCAGGCCACTCAGGCAGCCGGTCCCGTGCCAAATAGTCCACCGAGCGCCCCGCCTCCGTCACCCTGAGCTCGGTCAGTGGTCCCAGCACCACGGATGGCAAAACGGGCCGGTGGTTGGGATTCCAGTTCAGACGTCTGCCCTCAAGGCTTGCGGCCGGGCCTGTGCTGGGGGCCTCTGCGCCCAGACGCGGGGGAGCATGGATGAACCGATTGTTCATTCAATAAATATTTACCTATTACGCAGCCTGGGAGGCAGGAGAGATAAGGTACCGGTCTTTGCAGAACTTAAAGCCTCCCGAGCCTTAGACACCATCAGTAGGGCATCCAAGCGCTCCCTGCTCCGGTGGTTCCAGTCCTTGTGGCCGCAGACCTCCCAGATGGGGTTCAGGGATGGCCTGCCGGGGTCCCATTAGCTGTCAGTATTTGGGCTCATTCCTTTCTCGTTCTTCCTTGTGTAAAAATCACTGCTGATCTGAGGATCATTCAGCTTGGCTCTGCCACCCTCTCTGTCATCCTTGGCCTTCCTGGTCATTGCCCCCACAGTCACTGAAGAGTTTGCTAGCGGGTCCGCAGCCTCCATCTCCACCCCAAATATGCCACTATCACTGGTGTATTCAGTATCACCTTCTCCCTCACACAGCCCTTGACCCATGCTGTGGTCAGCTCTCCATTCCCTAGTAACCCCAACTAAATCTTGCCAGGTGGGCACCCGCATCCCTCTGCTGCTCCAAGGATGGGTTACTGAGTGCTCACAGAATTGCCCTTGGCTGAATGAAGCATCCTGTGCCCTCCTGCCCAGGACTGACTGACAGGAGGGAACCATAGACTGGCCCCTTTGCCTCAAGCTGGAACCAACTGTGTGGTACAATAGTGCTGGGGAGGTCCCTGTCCTTTGCTCACTCCCCTTCTCTGAGAGAGCTCTTCCCATCCCTTGAGCAAGAACCCCTGCCTCAGGCTCTGTTTTTAGAAGGATCTAAGGCATCCTCTCATCACGTTTTTATCAAATGTAGCCTTAGAAAACCCAACTGCCTCATGGCGAGAAGCCTCTTTTAGAAACATGTATGTCATAAAGTCTGGTTTACTTGGTCAGTCACTCCTTGACACTGGCTGATCCAATACTGCCACTTGGCAAGGTGGTCCTCACTTCATAGCAAAAGCAACTGCTTGCCACTCTGGAAACCAGCCCAAGGTACTGAGGGTGTGAATGAACCCTCCTTTATGCTTTATATTTTGTACACTGTACACTTGCTCTGGAATGTACATTGTGTCTGTTAATTATGCTCAGATTCATAGTCAATTCTCATGCACATAGATGTGATTTGCAAAGACAACCTACAAATGAACTCGAATAAATCATTTTGTGTGTGTGTGAGAGATGATCTGAATAATACACAGTGTGGAGACTTTGTAAAATTCAGAATAATATAAATAAGAAAAAAATCCATTCAAATTCCTCCTTCTGGAAACAAAGTATCTCTGTTTATAGTCTCTCATAGTTTCTTCAGTGTTTTTTTTTTCTACACCTATATGGGGTTTTGGGGGGTTCTTTCTTTTTTTCCCCCATGCCTCTATGTTTTAGTGGGCTACTATGCTCAAATATTAATGATGTTTACTCCTCCAGAGGCCCCCCCCAACAGCCCTTATATTCAGGGGAGGCTGCTCTGAATTTATTGCCTCAGAGAAGGAAGGAGAAAGAGAAAAACCAAAGCTTCTTTTAGCTTTTGTTTTTGAATACCTCGGGGCATGAACCTAGACCAGAGAGAATAAATAATGAGAGTGGAAAAGTCTCTCCCCAGGCTCAGAGAGGAAGGAAAATAAAGAGGAGCAGGGAGTGAGATGATGCTAGAACCTCTTCACCCAAGGACCACGGAGCTTTGTGGGATCAAGAGCAGAGGGGATTTGTGTCTGGCTTCAGGGTGGAGCCTGGAGGAGCAGTGAGCCCTGGAGACACTGTATGCTGTGTCTGCGCAGAAAGGGGTGTTGGGGAGGTTCCTACTGTCTAGTGTGATGTGGAGGTGGGAGTGTCTGAGGGAGAGTGGGAGAGAAGTGGGGGTGGGGAGAGAAAGATTCTTTAGAACTTAAGAGGAACAATGCCCCAGAGATGAGTAAGGATGAGAGACAGGACCCAATGGCATCTCAAGAGATGCCAGCTGGACAGATGATGGCGATGACAAGGACACAGCGTCCTCTTACCTCCTGACATTATGTAAACTCCATGGAACTTAAACCCACCCTGGAGAAAAGCTGGGAGAAACCAGATGGGGCTGAATTTCTTCCACCTGGCGCAAAAGGGAGCTTAAAATAAAACATGAAATTGAGCTATACAGAAATAAAGTTAAGTTTCTTCTCCATACATCAGTTTGTGCTCTTAAGTGCTCTGCTCCTAGACAGATATACATAAACCAATAGCCTTTCTTCATCCTAGCACAAGAGTGGAGAAAAGCAGAAACAGTAATGGGAAAAATATTCCAAGCGTGATAGCAATAAAAAGAAAATGCTTAGGAATGAATTTAACTAGAAAGGCAGGAGACCTCTGTGAGGCAAACTATAAAGTTTTATGAAGGATATAAAACAAAATGTGAACAAATGGAAAGATGTGACCCTGTGTGGGAAGATTTAACATAATTAAGATGTCAATGTTCTCCAAATTAGTTATAAGTGTAATGAGATTCTATTAACCCAGGATTTTTAAAACTTGGCTAACATAAAGATCATGTGCAAGAATAAATGCTGGAGAACAGTCAAGAAAAGTGTGAAAATGAAGAATAATGGGAAGGGGGCTTATGTTACCAGATATCAGAGTACACCATAAAACTATATTATCAATGTCATTTCTGCACGGGAATTGACAAATAGATAAACATATCGGTTGGATCAAATAGAGAATCCATAAATATATATCGGTATATGTGAGAATTTAAGAAATGACAATGATGATATTTTAATTCAATGGGAAATTTAATAAGTGCCTTGGCATAATTATCTACCCATCAGGAACAAAGTAAATCTTCCTCTCTCTCTTTCTTTATTCCTCTTTCTTCGTTTTCTGCCTCTTATATTCGCATTTTTAAAAACCAAAGTATAGGGGCACCTGGGTAGCTCTGTCAGTTAAGCATCTGCCTTTGGCTGGGGTCACAATCCGGGGGTCCTGGGATGGAGTCCCACCTTGGGCTCCCTGCTCAGGGGGGAGTCTGCTTCTCCCTCTTCCTCCACCTGCTGATCCCCCCTTCTTGGGCTCTCTCTCTCTCTCTGTCAAGTCAAATAAATCATTAAACCTTTAAAAACAGAAAAACCCAAATTTTAGTTGACACACTATGTTACATTAGTTTTAGATGTGCCACCCAGTGATTCAACAACTCTGTACCTTGTGCTGTGCTCTCCAGGAGGGGAGCTACCATCTGTTACCTTTCTTTCTCTCTCTTTTTTTAACATGGATTTTCTTTTTTAGAGCCATTTTAGATTCACAGCAAATTGAGCGGCAAGTCCAGAGATTTTCTGTGTAGCTCCTGCCCCCATACGTTCATAAAACTCCGCTATTATCTACATTCCCCACTAGAGGGCGACCTTTGTCACAATCCATGAACCTACACTGACGCATCATATCATCCGAGAGCCACAGTTTACACTGGGATTCTCTCCTGCGCTGTGTATTTTATGAGTTTGGACTGATGTACAGTAGTCTGAAGCCACCTTTAGGACATAATACAAGGTGTTTTCATTGTTTTAAAATCCTCTGTGTTCTGCCTATTTGTCCCTTCCTCTTTCTTTCTTTCTTTTTCTTCTTTCTTTCTTTTTCTTTTCTTTTCTTTCTTTCTTTCTTTCTTTCTTTCTTTCTTTCTTTCTTTCTTTCTTTCTTTCTTTCTTTCTTTCTTTCTTTCTTCTTTCTTTCTTTCCTTTCTTTCTTTCTTTTTTTTTAAGATTTTATTTATGAGAGAGAGAGAGAGAGCGAGGAGAGGGAGATGCAGAGGGTGAGAGACAAACCAACTCTGTACTGAGGGTGGAGCCCGACTGGGTGCTCAATCTCAGGACCCTGAGATCATGACCTGAGCTGAGACCAACAGTCAGACACTTAACCAACTGAGCCACCCAGGCGCCCTCCTGCCCCCGCTTTAATCTTTGGCAGCCACTGATCTTTTCACTGTCTCCATAGTTCTACCTTTTCTAGAATGTCATAGAGTTGAAATCATAGAGTATGCAGCCCGTTCAGACAGGCTTCTTTAGCAATATGCATTTAAGTCACCACCATGTCTTTTCGTGGCTTAAGAGCTTATTTCTTTTTAGCACTTTCGTCTGGATGCAACACAGTTTACCCATTTACCTAATGAAGGACATTTTGGTTACTTCCTAGTCTGAGCAGTTTTGAATAAAGCTGCTATAAACACCTGTGTGCAGGCTTTCATGTGGATCTTGTCAGTTTCTTATTAAAAGACATCAAACTTACAGAAAAGTGTACAAATCATAAGTCACACAGTGAACGCATCTTTTTGACCTGTACACAGATTAAGAAACAGAACATGACTGGCAGTCCCAGAATGGTCACCTGTGACCCATTCTGAGAGTTACCTCTACCCTAATTCATAATATCATAAATGAGTTATGCTTATTTGTGATATTTATACAAATGGAATCATACCATATATCTTCTTCTATGTCTGGCTCTTTTTTTCAATGTTATTTTTGTGAGATTGCCCATGTCATCAAATGTACTGGTAGTTCACTCTCCTTGCTGTGTTGTACATATTACATTGCATGAATTACCACAATTACCAGTAATTTGCT